AATTCCAAAACATGTCAACTGTTGAGAATTCAAATTGGGTACACCAGAAATATAATTTTGGTACGCCAGATTTTTATGGTTGTTTCGACGTTTTTGGAATTTTTTGATGAACTTCTTTTAATGAGGATATCACGTCTCGAGATTAACCGCTGAAAGGTTTTCTTGCAAAAAAATGATAAAAATTGACATAATCCGATTTCAAGACTGGAACCAGGTTTTGCAAAAGCAATCAAAGCGTCCATTAGTGAATGATCTTGGTAATGTTGAAATGGCTTATAAAAATGGGCTAATGACCATGATTATTCATTGTCTGAAAAATGGATGGAACGGTACAGTCTAGGCTAGAACATATTCTGTAATAATGTACATAGGTTTGTCACTATTTTAGGGGCAGGAAATGTTGGTGGCAAAGTACAACAAAATGTACCAGCTTATCTAGTGCCATACACCCCCCCCACACTCCAAAATATGTTCCGGCATCCCTATAATGGGCAAAATTGTACATGGGTCATAAAGAATGTAGCATATGTGCCTGTTTTCTTTGTATTTTATAAGAGCACATGTTGCCTCCACTGCTTCCGCTGGCTTAAGGCAGGGTGTGCTTACCACGACTACCCCTCCTACGGACGTCCTTGCAAGATGGAAGGAGACGATAAACGTTTTTCATTAGAAGAAACAGACAGCTTTGATTAGGGTGGGCTTTCGGTTGTAGCTGCTAACCCTATTGTTTCCATGTTGCAAGTTTTATTCCAAAGCAAACCTCCAGACTCTATTTTCTCTTGAAGTTGTGCATGAATTGTGTTGAATGAACATAGAAAGCGAATCGGCAGAAGGTTGGGGTTGAAACAAAAATGTGAAAGAGACTATTCATTAGGCTTCCTTGCATCATCAATCCTTTCTATGAAGATATTTCCTTTCCCAGTGAGTACGCGGCTTTTTACGACACAGGCAATTGCTTTCAGTAGCTAAGGCTCGCAATAATTGACAAAGATTTAGAATAGAACCATTCTTTAAAAGGAGCAGCTTTTTCGAATAGACAATAAAGTATTTGAATATTTAAAATTATACTCAGTTTTCACATCTTAGAAGCTTAAAACTTTTAAGGCAGAAACTTCTATCTCAAAACAACCATAAGGTATTAAATATTTTCCTTCAATTTCACCTGATGAGGGTTCTCCGTTTTGATTAAATAATGGGGAAGATCTCGAGGCAATTAAGGTGACAGAAATTTCGCTCTGAGTCTAAAGCAAAAAATGTAGAATTTCTTTGGTAGAACTGATTTGAAGTTTAGCCCTCGAATGATTTTCCAAAAAATTCCTACTAAGTTCAGAAAAGTAGCTGCTTGGTATGATTTCGGTCTTCCCTCAAGCATTCTTTAATTTTTGCAAAATGAAAACCATCAAGAAAGCGCCCTGTGTCCGTTCCTGAACATTCAAATGTTCACATAGCTTTCTGCGCTTCAAAATTTCAAATATTCATAGAAAGTTTGGAAAGATAGGCGAATATAATGACACCAAGCACAGATTGAATGGTCAAGCTTATTTGATATAAAAAGGGTAAGGAAAACTCTTTGAATTTTGCAAGTGTCCTTGGTCCAGATGCCCCCGCCATTTTCTGAATTATTTTGAGGTCAATTAGGAAGGAGTTCTCTCTTACAAAACTGTCAGTCTTTGTCAAAAATTACAAAATTGGCAAAATATAACACCCTTTTCCCAGATTATTTAGTATGCTAGAAGTGATATTTTGTACCGAAAGGGAGGTTTTTATTATAGAAATGTTATTTCTCACCAAAAGGCATTTTCTTCATTCCAATTTTATGCAGAGTAGTAAAGGAACCTCTTTTTCTAGAAATTTGTTTCCAAGATAGAAAATTATGCATAAACACTGTTAAAAAAAATGTACGGGTACGGATTATTCAAGACCTCATCAAGATTATAATTTATAACGGGACAAGGAAGCATTCATAACTTGGGAGGAAACAAAGTATTGGATAGGCCTTAGCATCGCCACAATTCACCAAGGCTGTCTGGCAATGTTCAGCCTAAAAGAGACAGTTTATTTTCCAAAAAGGGCACTTCCAAAAAGGGCACTTCCAAAAACGTGTGACACTCATATCTCCAGCAGCTGGGCTGGGCTCCTACTCCTACCACGTTAAAAATGCAGCGTGAATCAACAGCCAGACTATGAGGTTAAATTAAATTTTATTGCCTACATATTGATGTTTTCTTTTTATCCTAATACTTCGCAATGCAATTAATGCACCCGGAGGATGCGTTAACAGTTATTGAGTGATCATTCAATACTCTGATGAAACAAAGGTTGTAAGGCGGGTGTGGCCAGGGAGTTGCATGCAAGATGATTCATCCTCCCAAAACACGCCCATTCTAATATTTGTCTCATTAAAAGCCATTTCTGTTTTCCAAATAGGAAATACAGAAGTGAATTGGCGCAAGAATCCCTGCTCTGAATGGAATAGCGGTAAATGAAATAAAACACCTTGAACACACATCCTCCTATTTACCATCCTTACCTTGATTTATTCTGGAAGATCGACGCCACTTCAATACTTTCCCTCGAATCCATCTATGTGTGACATTTATCAACCAGAGTAACCGCTTGATTTAAATGGAATTTCAAGGCAAAATATATTTTTCATTTGCCATAAGTGGAAAACCTCTCGCAAAAACCACGCATTTTATAGAAATTCGTATTTCAGAAAAGTCTTCAGGAGGACCAAGCATGTTTTTTGTTTTCTATCGATCAAAACATCTTCTGTTGACTTGCTGAATACCTTCATCACCAGAAATTGTTATTACCTGCTTGCAGAGAACAAGGGGATTATTCTGTTTACGGTGATGCATAGATAGAACTGTATAATTGATTTGTGGAGTCTTATGTAACAAAACAACAAAACATGACAAGCAAGGGTACCTTCAGTGGCGTAGATAGAGGGTGTCAGGGGGGCCAAAACCCCCTGTGTAAAGCTAAAAAGCCTCTTTGTCGGAAAATTTCTGATCTTGTCGGAAATATCACATGGTTTTATTTTTTCATCCAAGAGCTGCATTTTGAGAGGACAGTTTTTAAAGGTTATTATAATTGAGTCAGATGGGCAACTTTAACCAAAGATAATGGAAGTGTCACACTTAACAATGCCTTTTGCAAAGAGAAGACCATACAATCTTCAATTATTATGCCATTACAACTGACTTTGAGTAAATAATTAGACTTAATCTCCTATTTTATTTTAGTTATAATGTCGTTATGTAACGTTTTGAATATGTGTCACAACCTTTTTGAATCTGTGTCAAATGCTCACCAATATGGTACACGTCAAGCCATAAAAATGACATTCTTTAATACGAAAAAATAATTTGCAATCTGGTATCAGATCTGTGCGTTTCCTTGGCGCTAAATTTTTATAACAATATTCCAGTAGATATAAAATAATCATTGTCTGTTGTCGGTTTTTGTCAAAGGCTTGAAACCTTTTTACTCAACAAGAACTATCAAATTTTAACTTATCATTCACAAACCATCTTAGAAAAGGGAGTGCTATCTCCTCGATAAGTTCATCTACTGAGAGAGCTTCTCCTAAAGGAACTTCTCTGCAAACAACATCTTATGTAATTATTTGTTATTCCCTGTTATAAGTATTTTATGTAATGTGTAAACATTGTATGTCACTAGTTTTAATGTAGTTATAGTGAGATATTGTATGTAGTGGAATTTTAAAATATGAAAAACTTAACTGAGCTGAACTGAACTATGTTCATATGTATGAAAAAATTAAAAATTTTTGTTAGATTTTTGTCGGAAAATCTCAGTTTTTCGACCCTCCTAAGAAATTTCCTATCCACGCCACTGGGTACCTTTCATGGCTCTTACCAGTTAGTATAGGTTTTATGGATCTTTTTCAGTAGTACTTTTATCTAAGAACGAGATTAAAAGCTTAAAAACAGCGTTTCTTATTCAAAAGGTCTGCTAAATATTCAATAGTGTGGATCTCCTTAGCAAAATGGAAAATACAAGAAACAAAAATGTCTGCTTTTTATAATTCAAATAGAAGTTTGCGTCGGGTTTTCCAGTTTTTGCAATTTTGATAAATATGGCCGAACCACCAAGATCTTTGGATTCAAGAACTGTTACTTGCTTGGGAAACCCATCAATCTGGAGACGAATTATATTTAGGTAACTCGTTACCTTTAATGTGTTTCTAAACCATAATAAAAAATACAATACATGATCAAAAATGTTTTTACAACACACTGGGTCTCGTGAAATCCTTGGCCCAAAGGTCCAGTAGCCTAAAACAACCTGGAGACCGTTATTGATAACGTAACTAATGGATGGAATGGTATGCAATCGTTATCTCTAAGAACCAGATAATTTTTTCCGAGGCTCGATGTTCTTGTTCTTTGGATAATTAGAGGGTCGAATGTTCTTAATGCTGTTCTAATTTCTAAAAATTTTTCTATAACCCTATGTTGTTTCTTATTTTATCTAGGGCTAGTCATAGGAGCGTGTTGACCCACCGGGACTCAGGAAATTTCCCGGAAGGGATCTTAAAACCTTTCATGTGGGCCCCTTTCATGTGATTTTTTACCACTCCCGTAGCTGGTCATGTTCTTACAATATTCTTTTTTGGCAAATCAAGCCTCGGTGATTTTGAAAAGATTGTTCTTTTAAAAGAGATTTAACCCTGGCATGTTTTCAACAAAGGTTCTGGTTTGAAGGTTTCATGCAAATGAAAAGCCTAAAAGGTCAGAGTGAAAGAGTAAAGCGTTTTCTGCCAGACGACTTATGTATGATATCGTTATTTTTCACATTGATAACATATATTGAGGGTCGGCAAGAGCACTTTTGCTTAAAAGACCCTTGGTAAGAAGCGATGAAATCAAGGTTTATTCCAGACTCATATTCACTGATATGTTTTAAATAAGGTAGTTTACGATTCAAATTTGCAGTTGATCCCGTCTCTGTAAACATTTACATCGAAATTTTGTTAAAAAAAGAAGCGCATTTACTTATGGCCCTTATGCTTGATATTGATTAGAAATGAATAGGTAACTTTGAAGGAATCTCAAACGGGGATCATCCTTAAGTACTTACGCTTAAAAAGAGATCCAGCAACTTATTGAGACATCTCATTACTTATAAATGAAGTCAATGGCTCTGAAGACTAGAGGTCGTTGTTTGGAAAACGCGATTGCTTACATTGAAATTGCATAAAAATATGGTTTCTCGAAGCAAATGCCAGTTGGTGAGCTAAAACAAAATTTAAATTAGGACACTGCCACACTATCTGAAGAAAAGTCACAGTAATAATTACTGAATCGTTGCTTTACCGATCCCCCGGCTTCGCAGCACATACTAAGCAGAAACCAATACAATCCAGGAGGCAGGGCTCTTAATGACAGAGATTTCCGGGATGTGCTGTGAAACGTCCAGTGTTCTAACGATTGTTTGGCTGCACCACCCCAAGATTACACGAGAAACAGTAAACGTTAACTTTTGTCGTTTGAAAATACTTTGGCGTATTGTGTATTCAACTCTATAAAGGATTCGTAGCAGTTCCAATGAAAGAGGATGCATCGTAGCCCTGTTTTTGTTTACTGATCTATGGTTGGCGCATTTACACAAATTTCCATGAAAGTAGCGTCTTATATTGAAAAGAGGAAAGTCTCTTAAGTTGAAACTGGTTCGAAAATTGTTAGTTTTGGACGCGAAAAAGTAAAGAAAGTACAAAGTCAACGGCGGGCATGGCAGAGAAAAGGTTTGAAGTTGTGTTTTATCATTAATGAGAAATGTCTCTTATTATGCGATAAAAATTTCCATAAGTTGATAAATTGATATTTGTTAAAGAGAACTGGAATAACCTCGATTTGTTTGGCTAACAAACCTATTTGTGTTCTTGTCGTGCGGTTGAATTTTAGATTCATGAATGGTCAAACTCAAAAGCTTAAGGTTGACTGTGATTTATACATTCACGGCTTGGTTGTGAGCGAACCAACAACGGTGAATCTTTAGATTTTTGTTGAGGTCAAAACGAACCGCTTCAACATTGACAAAATGTTTGTGCTCTCACCAGATCCGGTCTGACGTAAAAAAATTGATGTAAATTTTAGAAAACAGTTATTAGCTTTTCGCAATTATGTGTGATTTTGTTGAGGAGCTCTGAAACCCAACTGAAGTTGTTGGTTATTGAACTTGGGACGGAGGACGGAATAACTGTTTTAGAAGAAAAAGGTGACAGGACTTGCTGTTGAAGAACTCTTTATTGATTTAGAGTGGCTTATAATTATGACTCAAGCTTCTCGAAGGAGTGGAAGCAACTAAATATTGACCGTTATCAACCAAGGTTTGGTGATAAGGACTAATATTTACTGTCAAGCATTTTCAATGGCATGGCAAGGTTCATGATTGGAATGAGGGGATGCGGGGAAGAGCAGGGAATGAGGGGATGCGGGGAATATGGGGGTCTCTCAGGATCAACAGAATGTGTAGGGTTGCTTAGAATTCCTGAGTTCCTGCAATGCAAATTCATTCATAAATCAAGTTTGTATAATGTTGCGTCTTACTGAAAGTGCGAATAAATTTTACGCGAGACAAAGAGGCTTCAGTTTTCTCTGGCTCGTTATTTGTCATCTCCGATGAAAGGAATTAACACCATTTTAAAAGAACATTATTCTTGTCTCTAAGCACAGCCAAGTGAATAATATGCCTGTTCAAAAGAGGCTGTACATTGGTGTTGGTTTTAACAAGTACGTCATTATAAGCTTTGTGTGTATTTCGTCATCAGGTCAATGTTAAATTATATTGCAGCTGGGAAAACCAGTTGTGAAAAACCCAGGATAAAAGAAAAAGGATAGAATGTGACATTTGTATCCACAATGTCAATGCAGATCTTATACAATAGAGAATGCGGTTGGTGTTTATGCTCAAGAAGCAATGCTTTTCATGGTTACAGAAACACTTCGGTGTTTTTAAAACTATTTATTAGAAACCTGGACTTTTAATCGCGTAATAAATTGAAAATCCAAAAATATATTAGCTGCAGGGTGGTAGACTAAATGGGAATGTCGTAGAATGAAATGTAAACACTGATACAAAATGGCAGGCATGTATCTTTTGGACATAGTGAACAAGTCATCGCTTTACTTCACAGGACGTAAGAGTTGCCAAAATACTTACTTCGACAAGACTGCTCACTTCTACTTGCTCCTTCTCCTACAGTCTGGCTTCTAAATATAGAACACATTTTTACAGTTAATTCAATTAAGTAAATCTGTTTTTTGTTTTAACCCTGGCTTGTGGAAACGCTGCCTTAATGTCGGGGTACGAATCTGTCTAGTTTTAAATTGACCTCAAAATCCTCTTCGTTTATCAAGCCGTTTAAGTTTGAAGGCGATAAAGTCTGACCGTATAATTTTTGTAGATGTCCCCTATTATTTGCGCATTCGCTTAGATTTACCCTCTTGTTTCTACCAGCGGTCCCCCACCCGTCGGTCCCGTTGTCGTCATGAAAGGAAGCAATGGTTTCTTGCCATGATTTTATTGGTGTAAAGGCATAATAAATTATGTATTGACATATGAATTTATGGGAGGCCTGTCTGAGAAACAGTAGGGCTACCCTAATAATGAAAACTGAACAAAACAATTCAAATGTAGACATTCCAATTTTAAATAAATGTTCGTCAGCTTCAAAAGAAAAAAATCCTCTAACTAAATAGAAAAATTCGACAAACCATCGCTAGTGAAGGGGGAGGGGAGGAAGGGGGGAGCGTGAAGAGAAAAGGCTTGCTTGAAGGAGTGGCTTTTCCGTGAGATTTTTTTAGTGTAGGACGAGGGTAGTAATTAGAGATTGTATAGGGCCAAGTAGCGTCTTCCCTCGCTGAAAGTTTGTTATGAAAAGTTGATCAAAATATCGGATATCCCTTCCTTTGACTGCGGCGAATACTTGTGTGCTCGCAAAGAATACTCACCGGCCTCGTAATCCGATTTCGCTTCACACAAATGTGCGATTTTATGCTTTAGACTCAGGGTTTATCAATTACTGTGTCAACAATATGATAAACAGGCTTATACTGAATTCGCACCAAGCTCAATCAAATCGTGAGCGTAGAATTAATTGGATTTCAGGAATTCTTCTAACATAAATTGTTACTGCATGGATAAACGGTCCGGAGATGGGCATAAAGCTTCTATAGGACGGGAAAAGTTTCAAATAAATTATACCCCGGCTAGTTTTGTGAAAAAATTGTTTGATTTCAATGCTCATCAGAAAATACATTGGTGGAGCATGCTCACATCGAATTGAAAACCGTGTTTTAATTGAACACTCGTTTCCGAATTATTTTAAAATGTAATGTTTCGTGATAGTTTGCAATCGTTTTCGTATAGGTGTACCCTGGGTACCAGACTCACTATATAAAATAATAATGATCTATTCTATTTTATATATAGTGAGTCTGGTACCCAGGGTAGTATTGGTGCTGCTTGTGATGTCTATTTTATGACGATGGAAAGCTTTTATAGCAATGTTTGGTTATGACAACTTTCTATAACCCTAAACTGGTCACCAGGCCTTTGTTTCGATGATTTCTCTTTGAGATTTAGTTGATGTTATAGTTTGTATAAAGGCTGCTGTTTCTTCTTTTTGTTGGCTATCAAGAGCAATCACCGAGGTTATCAAAAAGATCGTACTTCGTTGTTTTTTCGGTTCGCTGAATACACTCATTTTTTATAAGAAGCTGGCTGTAAGAAACGAGTACTGGACAGTCAGAAAAACAATAGAAACTATTAAATCGCGATAAAACTGAGAACAATGAAATTTTGTAAAATCCAAGAACATGATAACCCTGTTGACCTAGAACTTAAGACTTCCCACATGTAAATACAGCATCAGAACGAAAGCAAATCGCTTGCCGTGATAAAAAAGTCACGAACATTTCATAACATCATTCATGACATCACAATTTAGAAACTCCTAAGAAACAATGAGTATTGAAATTTCCAGAACATCTAGAAACTGGAGAACTCAACATCGACCTTTATTTCTTATTAAAAAATGAGTGCAACTGTTAAGTAGTCAGTTGCTACACCAGTGGCGTTGCCAGCTCAAAAAAACTGGGGTGGACAAAAACAACCTTTCTCGGCCACGCCCTTCAGAGAGGCCTTTTAAAAGGGGATGACGTTATTTCATATTTCATGATAATACCTTGCAATTATTTCATATTTTAAAATTACCAAATTGCTTCGAAATTGTCAAATGTTCCATTCTGCCTTAAGGTGTCAGGAAAAGTTAGAACGACTCACAAACAAAATGGACCGAGTCTTCAAAACCAATCTTTGCAGCTAAAAATATTGGAAATGTATAAAGAATTTGTTCGGAAAAAAGCCAAAGGACCCCGTACTTTAGTAGAAATAGGGAATTAATTCTCTTTGGAACTGTGGTGATCATTTGGTACTTTTTAGAGAATCTAAGGACACCGGACGAAATATTTATCTTTGTTTTGTTCAACTTATTCTTGAACATATATGTACCAAAACAAATAGTCCAAGTCTCGGAGGGTACAACCAGAACGGGCCCACAGACATGCCCAGGAGACACACTGTGCTAGAAAGATTTGTGAATTTTGAATTTCGGGGCATCTTCTTTGGCTCTGCTGACCGCCTAGAGCCCTAATGACCAGAAAACGCATTTGTTTAATTGATTCTTCATACTATAGTCATACTGTTACTTCCAGTCACTTGCAGTCTTAAGTGCATTAAATAGCATAAAATGATGCTAAAATAAAGTTAATGCGAAGCTAAAACTAAGTGAAACCAACTCTTACGATGTTCTCAAGAAGAAATCAAAATAAATACTACAGATCGACTGGGAATTATGCATAACCATTAGCAGCCAGCCTAACCAAGATTTTGAAGGTTTAAATGATAAGAGTAAAGGCAACTGATCATTTTAAGCCTTGGAAACATTCTGGCAGATAACGGGAAGTCACGTTCACGTTACAAGCTCTTTCTGATGGTATTATTAGATTTGACAAAATTCGAAAGTCGAAATTTTTCTGGCCGTGCATTTTTCATGCTTCCAGAAACTTGACTTCCAGTCAATTACCAGAATACTTCCAAGACAGTTGAAGTGGGCCAAATTCTCTTTACGGTTGCGTGTTCGTGGCTTTTGATAATATTTCCTCATAGTTTGATCTATTATAGTTATTTCGTTTTGTGTCAAATAACGTAACTATTAATCACTTTTAGCATTGTTTATTGGCACCATACTGAATTCAAAGATATGGCCAGAAAGAATTCATAGTATGCATGTGTGGAACAATCAATGTAGATAAAAACATTTCCATGATATTATTTGATGTTGGTAATTTTCCTAAACGTGAAGTATGAAGAGCCTTTTAAACCCCTAAAAAGGTTTGAAATTTTTAAAAGAAAAGCCCAAGCGTGATATTGTATCTCAACAGCTCTACAGATTAATAGTCACTTGAGTCAGTGCTGTTATCAAATAGATAATTCTCGCACAAAATTTTAAAGAGGTATTCAGATATTTTGTTATTTAATATTTCATACAGGGAACCAAAGTTATTTCATATTTCGGAATCAATCTGATCAGCCCAGCTCTCCCCCCCCCCTCCCCCAAGGTTTTTCAACGGATTTCGGGAAATTAGAAAGTCCACTTCTGGGAAAACTGGACATGTCCACCCCAGTCAACCCCGGGGCGACGCCACTGTGCTACTCTCTTTAAAATCGACCCAATCTGAT